CGTTGGGCTATCATCTAACCCAACCCTTCTTCATCAGAGCAGCACATGAGCTGTGGCCCTCCTCACCAGTTCCCTCCTGTAGACCACCAGAGAAATTCCAGCTTTCTCCATGCTAGGGAACAGGGTTTCTAGCTGTCGAAGATCCTGGCCTCTCTACAACTGAAGCTGAAGCTCTGAGAGGTTTAGTTGTAATGTTTTATGCAACACCAAATACAATATCCAATTATATGTTACATAGCACATTCTTATTTATTTTTTTATTTAAATTATATGCATGTAATATCCAAAAGAAAGGTGGGACCTGGAACTGGAGGAAATCATCTGTAGATAGATGGAAATAGCTACAAGGCCAGCTCATTGACATTTTGAGTACTAGGCAAACCTCACAAGCAGCCGCTGTCTGCTCAGCGTCTGAACAAGGAGAAAAAGCACCCTCAGCTTTTTGTAAAAACAGGATTTTAAGCTTCAGACTCCACACTGGAAACCTCAGCTTACATGTTTTTTTAGAAAGAGCTAAACAAATTTTGGTCACAACTTTAACCTCTTCAGTGAGGCTCTGCATACCACCCTCCTAGGACTGTCAGCACTGACAGAAGATGTTTCAGACCCTCTCTGAAGATCTGGGCAAGGTTAATGCTGGGACATGTAACATTTAAATGCTAAAGCCACGAAACTCCAAAAAGATATTCATTGTGATCTTGAAAAGAATGGCAACCCTCTGCCAGTACAAGATTTCTAAACTACTATTTTAAGTGCTGCTGTGCTGGTAGGAAGAGGAGAGAGCTGAGCAAGTCCCACCATTCTCTCCAGGCATCTCTGAAATCGAGAGGAATTTGTCCAATACGTAACTCTGAGGACAGGGGGAAAGAAATAGTAACCTAGCAAGGTTTCACAGGAGAAAGCAACAGTAACTGCAATGGCTGTGTCTCTCTGAAAGACCCCACCTCATTTGTGTTGCAGGAGATGGGCTCCTTATGAACACCGCAGGTCAGGCAGATCACTCTCTCACTGGATTAACGAGAACCATTTATACCATTGTCCTCCACAGTGACACCACCTCTGTTCAAACAACTTACCACACCTAGTATCATCGCATCAGCACCATCCTAAACCAGCGCTCTCCATCAGCGAAGCCAGTAACAAACCTGTTGCTGTTAGGATCACCCAACTCACCTCAAAGCTCCACCATGCAGAAGTTCAGACACCTGCATCCCCACAAGTGGCTCTAGCTCCCTGTACTTGTATGGCAAGTTTCCATCTCGGGAACCTTCATTTTGCCACAAACCTAACAGCAGAAAGACTAGGGCAAAGGCAATCCCCAGAAAAAAAGGAAGATGATGTTGCTTTTATAGACAGTGCTCTCACACAGATCAGAGCGTACTGAGGCTACGCCATTTCTTACACTATATCCCAAAGCTATGACAACACTTCACCTTTTTCTTCTTTTTAGAAGCTTTGTTTACAGCAAAATCCATAAATAGAAGAGGACCTGAGAGCTATTTCCCATCAGTGGAATGTCTGAAAGCGGGGAAAGAGATGCTGGGATTTGGGAGAAAGGAAGGAGCACAAGTTCTTACAGTTACTACATCCACATTCAGCCCCAACACCTGGTAATAAATCAGTGAAGTAGAAAGCACTTCTCTACCTAGCCATATAGAAACACACTGCTGGAAGATGTAAGGCAACAACTCCTCTTAATAGACACACATTCACGTCAAATGGCACGTCACATTATTTTGCTTTGTGTGCGCACTAAAAATTCATGTCACTAGTAGCTGGCCAGCTGGACCAAAGGAGAGCTCATTCCTCTGAAGAGGTTAGGACTATCTACAACCCCTTCAGGTAGGGCTGGTGACAACTCCAGTCCCCTAAACCTTCAAGTCCTGTGTCACCTCTTGGACAGACTTTTTATTCCAGCACACAACTTCCCCTGGAGGGAATTAGTCCCAGGCGATACAGTACCTGCCACACAGTGGGTTTACATATGCTGGAGACCATCACCAAATCTAAGCTCTTTTGCCTGATTAGATATTCAAATAAAAAAAAAAAGGGAGTCGGTAACTCTTAGTATCAGTCCAGCACTGTTGAACCCTAAATTACCATCCTTGAATTGCGAATTCTTTGAAAATGCAAGAGGACCTCTTGTACCAACATGATCATGGCTAGTTCCATCAACGCACCTTCGTATCTGTTACGGAGGAGAAGCCTGGCCCATCCACTTTCTCCAATTTCATCTCTGCCAGGCACCATCTACCGAATGTGTTAGTGCTGGGTCACCAGCCTTTCAGTCAAGCGTTGTTCTTGGCTTAATGCAAGGAAGAGCTGCATGTATCCATACAACATACAAAACAGCCATAGACCATGCACAGATGATCACATGGACAAAGCAGACGCATGGATGCTCTCCTTTCAATACATGCTCCTGTTCGGCATTTCTTGTTGCAGGAACAGTCCATCAACAGCAAAAGCCTCAGGAGAAACAGAGCTCCACATGGCTGAACAGAGTGAAATGCCAGGTTGACTTCCCAGCTTGGGGGGGAATACAGGAATCAGCATCAGACAGTAGATAAGAGTAGGCTAAAAGAGGCAGGAGCTGCACCCCCACACATCAACCTGAACACTTGTATTTTAATGTTTTAATGCCAATGTTACCCAACAAGAAGTCTTTCTTGGGGGTGGGGGGGGAAGAGTGGGACATGGCACCACAAAAGAGAAAAATCATTCTAGTTGCAAACCTTTTCCTTAAGGTTAAGAGTTCATCAGTAGGCTGACCACAGAAGCTATTGTATGGCAGCAGGGAATAAGGGCTGTCCTGGGCAGCTGAAGCCCATTTTCCACTGGTAAGGGACCATGAACACAGGTTTCCCTCAGCACATCCTGAACTGCGGCAAAGAACAAGTCAAGAACCAAAGAAGGTGTCGGCTTCAGGAATTGCTGTGGTACATGGGAAGCAATTACAGCTGCTTTGGGAGACCTGCTTTATTTTCAGGGTCAGAAAAGGCACCCTCCTGAAAGAGAATGTTAAAGGTCAAAAAATGTCTAACAACTGGGGAAGAAAAAAAAACCCACAAAAAGCCCACTGCAGCTTCTCCAGGGCCTCCAGCAAACCGTTCACCATTGGGTTGGTCCCCAGAGCCAGGGGCCGCAGCCTGTGCTGCCACGGGAGGGAGTGCTCCCAGGCTCCCAGTGTTGGCATCAAAGGGTGTACACATGCCCCCAGGTATCCAGGGCACACAACTCATTCGCAGCAACGCTGCCTGTCCAGAAAGAGTACACACAGTTCCTTCACGCAGACGGTAAATACAGCGCTAACCAGCAAACACGGGTAAGGGAAAAGCAAAAGCAGCAATTGCCAACAAGTGATGTTTTACGGAGCAGGATATTCAGTCACTTTATACAGATTCAGTGCCTGGTTCCCCTGTCCAGCAATCCATGCAGGACTTGCTCCCACTCCCCGGACCGTGAAAGGCCCGGTTAGGTGCCCACAGTTCAGCGGTGTGAATTCCCTCCCTTGCCCCTGCCAGCAGCAAACATTTTAGGAAGGCAGCCAGCCTGAACACACTCACACCAGGTGAGAGAAACCCTCCTGCACAGGCATCTCGAGGATTTCAGGCTCTCTGCCATCCTCATGAGCTACATCAATCCAGCACCCCAATCATCAGGTTGCTGGTTGGAAGTATAAGAGCTTGTTGGAGGCCTTCCGTATGTTATGAGCTCTTCATCCCCTGCTGTGTAGTGACAATATTTTACACTTTTAAGTGAGGATGCTGATAGAAACAACAAGTTGTGGCTAGAATTCTCTGCCACACCTTCAGACACATGATTGCATGCTATCTGTCCCACTTGCCATGGCATTTAATTCAGCAAGTACAAACAAGTTTTTAATGCTTCAGATTTAAAAGGATATCACCAATAAAGGTTAGAGACAGCCTCTAGCTATTGCCATGAGTAAAGACAACAGAATCCCTTTAAAAATTTAAAGTATGTATGCTTTTTCCACCCTTCAATACAGAAGTCACCATGCAAAGCAATATTTCCATGAAAAAGTAGCTCCAGTTCAGATGAACAGGAAAAAATACCCATGCAATGACACAGTTTTACCAGATACAGTAATTAAAAATCCCAGTTAAAAAAACAAAACAAAAAGCAAACAAAGTCATCATCAAGTTTTCTGTTTTATTTAAGATTTTAGTTTTAATTCTGAAGAAAGAGGTACATTTCCTTGGTTTTAGTTTTAGCGTCAGGTTATAACCATGTTTATTTATCTGTTTCTTTTTTCCTGTCTTTTCAATACTGCACAAACGTCCAGAAACTACAGGGTTAAGTAAAAGCTGCAGGCAGAGGAGGTCAGAGGTTGCTCCTGATGGTGATCATGTGGCCCCAATGCAGTGCTATCCCAGAGTGCCCTAATCAGGTGAATCTTTGTGTTTTTTTTTTTTAAAAAAAAAGAAAGAGAGACTGACAGAGGAGACAGAAAGACTGAAGTAAATATCACTCGTGTTTCAGCTGCTTATATTATGTATACGCTAGGTATTAAATCTGTGAATACTTTTAAAACATTAAAGTTTACTTTAAATCTAAAGCCAAAATTAAAGAAAAATCTTATTCTCCCCTCTTTAAACCACTCTTTAGCAACATGCCAGTTACTCATAGTTATAAGTGTTTTGTCTTTCAACACACTTCATGTCAAACTGACTGACACAATAAAATCCCTTTCTCAAAAAAAAAAACCTCCAACATAGCAATTTACCTGTGTAGTGCCACACTGAATGCAAAATAAATGCTAGGCCATTGCTTGCCCCACATGTTCAGTAATTTCATTTAAATTAAATACCTTTTTCATGTTTCTGCATTTGATTCTGCATTGCAATTTTCCCCTACTGCAGATTGACACTTTTCCACTAGGCAGAAATACTCATGTGCAAAAGACATAAGACAGTAATATTCTGTAAGCATTGAGACTGCATTTTGATTTCTCTCTCTCTTTTTTTTTTCCTTCACCTTAGAATGGTTAGAAAATATTTCAGTGTATTTCAAACACTGGCTCAGCAGAAACTTAACGAAAAGATACGGTCATGACCCTGTGATGGCATTGCATTTTGGGGGGGAGGTTTGATCAGGAACTGGATTCTTCAGAAAGAAAGATATGACAGGGAACAGTAGGTGGGCATGGGGAGGAGTCAGGGTGGGACACTTCCTGCATTTCTAACGTTTTGGGTTTTATTTTTCTTTTTTTCTTTTTCTTTTTCCTCCTTTCCTAATGACGATCCAGCGCTGAGCTCTGTAGTAGATCTGTGGGGGTTTTACTGGGGGGTCTGAAGGCTGTCTGAAAGCCTGGGGGTGGGGAATGGAAGCTGGTGGGGTTTGAAGGAGGAGAGTAGGGATTCCAACTGGCTCTGTGCAGAGGGATCTGTGTGCCGAAGGGGTTACTGTGGTGCGTCTGTGATGGCGCTGCACTGGGGCCGTCCACCTCTGTGAGGGCCTGAAGAGATTTTAGCCAATGTGGAGGATTGTCATCTTGAAGGGCGTCTAAACTGTTTCCTGTGGAGGCTGGGATACCTACAAAGAGAAAAAAAAAAAACAAACAGGGATACAGGCAAGTCAGAGCAGAAGCAACAAAGCTGAGCACGAAGGAGGTCAATTTAACCTAACAAAAAGCATCAGTGAGAAAACATCATTAGTTTGTACAGAGAATGCATTTTATATTATTATACACAATTACCCTGCCCACAAAACATTTAACATTAAATCCAGATAAAAGAAAGTTCCCCCTCAGAGCACTTCATAAAATACACATTTTTCTATCAGCCTTCCTGACAAGGACTGCATCCCTGTTGACGTGACCTTACCACACCACACTACCAGTACACTGCATGCTTCACCTCCTACTCTGCCTACTTGAATCATGCTTTAGCCTCCCTAACAGGGAAACACAACCAGACAGCCTGATAAGAGAGAGCTTTATAAACAAGTGGAGTACGTCCCTTTTTAAATAACAAAGTCCAGTGAATGCCTTCAGTGCCTCAGGACCAGCAGCGCACATACCGGACATGCCATCCAGCAGAAGGGACACCTACACTGACCCTATAGATAAAGTGCTGATCCGCCTGACTGCCTGCAAAGGTCCCGGGCATGCATTGCAAAGGCCTAGAGGGACACTTTGTTATACCTAGTGGTTCCACAAAAATTCCTGGACCCTTGAGGTTTTGTGGATGGAAGCTGGAAGAGACCACCGCATACTGACTTTTTTCCAGTTGTAAATCAGTTTGTGCCAAATACCCATTTGATGGTTTGCCAGCAGAGCTGAAGGAGTGAGAAACGGTTACCTGTTATGATTGCGGGGTCCATCCAGCTGCCAGGGCTGTCCCAATTCAGGCTGTCGGTGGTGGCAGTGTTGGACGTTGGTACACTGTGGTTGGCGTTGGAGGGGGAAGAAGCATTGGGCAGTCCACCAAAGTTGATGTTAATGTTCGGTAGAAGTGCCCTTAGCCCGTCCTGCCATTCCTTCATATTTAAACTCTCTACAGAACTGCTGTTGTCTGGGAGATTTACCAACAAAAAAAATGAAAGATAAAAAAATAAAAAGCTGAAGTTAGAAACAGATGTCCTTCTTTGGTGGGGTATGGGATTTTGTTTTTACTTTTTAAGCTAAGCATTTAATACTTTCCCTTTCCAAAAACTAGGGTCAATGTTTATATGATTGAACTACTCAGAGGCTGGCAGGTTTTAAACCAAGTGTAAGGGAGTGGGAGAAAGATTTAACTCCTCCCCCAATTCATATTTCCCCATTTTTTTTTCAGTTCAGAGACTTGAATAATCAAGGGCACAGTGGCTCTTCCTCTATTACTATGGGGGGAAGACCTACCAGATCCTTTGTGAGAATATCTCTGTTGTAAGCTAGATTACCCACTTCGGCTGCTTTATTAACGGGCAGCAGGCTCAAAAGGGTTGTTTTCTTTGAAGTATATTAAAATGAAGAAGGCTAGGTAGGGCTTTGCAATAGAAACCAAACATGAGGAACCAGGGAGGTGGAGGAATATCACAAAAGATTTTTGTTTTGTTATAGCTCGCTCATTCACAGCCCTACAGACGTTCTTCCGAAGGAAATGGTAATTAGGCTCTCCAAGTTGGAGGGAGTGCAATTTCCTCTTGCAGTTGAAGAACAGTAGTGAAAATTCTTTAGAGACCTTTTAAAATAATTCCTGACACAGCAACAGCCTCAAAACTTTGGTTAGAAGCAAACCAACTGGACACCAAAACACTCAGGCCTCAACTATTTGCCTAATTGTTTCAGGGCACATACTGAAAAAAGACAACAGGATAACGTGGCTATTGGCACTACAGCAAATGATCCCTGACCACAAACTTTAAACCACTATCTAAAACAGACTATCAGGTTCTACAATCCATCTCCTGCTTTAGGCATCTCAAAGCAAAACAAACCAGAGCATCCTAGTGTTTACCAACCAATACAGAAAGTCATAATTAACTTGTGGTCAAATAATTTTAAAAGGAAGTGTTGGGTAGTACGTTGACAGTACACTCTTTTTGACAAAAAACTTTTTTCTTTTTAAACCATCTCTGCCTGTCCTAATTGAAGACAGGATCTTGATATCAATCAGAAGTGTTACAGTGAGATACTCACATCTACTTCATCAACAATGGAAGAGATCAAAGTCTTCCATTAGAAGATGGATTTAGTCTTCCAAATTAGAGGATATCACTAACTAGCAACTTTATGTGTTGAAGAGTGAAGAAAGCAGTCTTACTTGCTATCAAAACCTGCCTTGGCAATTTTTGTAAAGCTGAATGCTCAGAAAGAACTAATGCCTCAAGCAATTACCTTTTTGCAACTGGGGGTGGGGGGGG